ATCAATGTCTCTATTATTGTTTTCAGCCCTAGCAGCACGTACCGGCGCATCGCCAGTATATATATTCCCGCAATGTGATATTCTACAATTAATTACAGGTAAGAATTATCTATTCTATTCTATTAAGCCTATCAGTACTTAATGTCTTTAATGTTATTTTCCAGATTGTGCAGTGCGTGCAGGCGAGGCAGCAGCACATGTGTCCCCGCAGTGTAACAATACACCCCACTAACAGCAACAGGGGCCACTGCTCTATTACCTCGCATATTATCTCATATCGTTAAGCTAAGCTACAATATGTTTCTTATATCAGATATGAGCAATAAACGTCCAGGCTTTAATTAAAATGTCAAAGTTTAACTAGTCCTTTTCTTATATGCTACAAAACGTGTCGCTCCCAAGTGCCGTCACAGGCAACAGATCCTGCAGTCTCTCTACCGCATAGAAATATATTACATCCATGAGTTATGCGTTCTCCGGGGCATCAGATTCATGATTCACGGCAGCAGGGCCTTGCGAACAGTTCGCCCACACATATATACATGTTTATATGTTTACAGCAACAGGATCCGGATGCAGTACAGGGCCGCCGCTGTATGACTCACAAAAGTTCACACTACAATGGACATACACAATCAGAGCGAGTATATGCATGCTCCGTGTTGCTCCATCCCAACAGCTCCGTCCAGCAGTTGACAGGCCCCTCTCGTCGCGCGCCGCTTGTACGGCTGACACCGTACGTCAATTCCCGCTTGCAATACTCAAACTCACGTGAGTCGGGTATCTCACTGTTATATTATATTATTATTATTGACTGCTTATTGAGTATAGACCGAACTCAAAATCTCGAACTGAAATTAATCTTTTTATGTATCGATTCCTGGTACGGAATCCAGTTCTCGTGTACACATTTATACAAGCATGTCAAAACGAGATCAAAAACCGTTCTCTAATCGTCCCAACAAAGGCGAGGGGGGCTCACACAGCGTGAGTATCGCCCCCGTGTGCAACGACACGACAAATCCCACCTGGTTCCACCGCCCGAAGAAGCGACAATCTCCGCGTATCGTCCTCTAATCCTCCGGCGGATGCACAGTGGGGGGGGCTGTCAGAAGGCGAGCACAAGTCCACCAACAGCACCCGGGCACCACCAGGAGAATACAATCCTCACCAGGCACTGTCAAAACACATCAGGGCGTGCAATCAAGCACCCATTCATGCACGGCCTCATCAGTTCGCGGCCACAGCCGCCATTACATGCACGGTGACACCGGCGGATGCACAGCGCCGCCACGCGTTCACTTTCATGCACCGCCCGGCATGCAGCGCCCAAGCACACCTCCACCCGTGCAGTGCCACACCCCCGCACTGACCACTGCCCAGCGTGACGTAATACGCGCCGCCGCGATCGCCCGCCAAGCACGTGGCGCGGCCGCCACAGAGTATGCAGAGCAGAGATCGCGCACTACACGAAGGGCCTATTCACATGAACCCGCACAGGGAGGCATGCATACGAACACATGCTTGTGCACAAAACACACTCCCCATGCAGTTTAACTGCTTTTATAGTAACCATTCGCGAATTTCAGCCCGGAGAGACCGACTCACTCCAAAATTAAGCGTTTCCGCACTGTGACTCACGTATCCGCCGTATATCCCGTAGGTTCGTATACATTGCGAGTGAGTACCCGCGCTTTTCGGAGCACGCGTCACTTATATAACGCACTGCTCAACCCGCACATAGATTTCGCGGTTATTTCGGAGTAAGTCCGGAGTATTCCCTGTCACACTATTAATCTTTCGAAGGGCAGCGAGCCCAGCACTCAGTATGCCCGAGCCTCAGAGAGAATTCCCGAGGAAAAAGACACCTACTCACACTCACAGCTCGCACACGGCAAAGATGATGGCCATCTTGAGCCGGGGCAACGAGCCACGCCTCGTGGCACCAAAAATCGACTATTTCTTCAAGAGAAATACATTCCCGCATACGAAACTTTAAGAATCGATACAGAATCGCAATCCGCACACACTGACCGCACTTTTGAGACGCTACGCGTGTTATTTCCGCACGGTCGCATGCAGGAACGACGGAGCGGCACAGAGACACGTCCGTACGTCTCGCTACACACGGGAGAACCGCGACCTAACCTAACCTAACCTAACCTTTTTTTTTGTTTTTTTTTTTTA